ATGGGATGGTGTCTATGTGACGGCATGGGATGGTGTCTATGTGATGGCATGGGATGGTGTCTATGTGACGGCGTGGGATGGTGTCTATGTAATGGCATGGAATGGTGCATGAGATCGAATGTGATTGTGTGTGATGGCATGGGATGGCGTGTGGCTGCATGGAATGATGTGTGATGGCAGGGGATGGTGAGTGTGGTATGGAATGTTTTTTTACGAAATGGTAACGATACCAACCATCTTTTTTTCTAAATGGATGGGATGGGATGGGATGGCATGGCATGGCATGGCATGGCATGGTATGGCATGGCATGGCATGGCATGGCATGGCATGGGATGGCATGGGATGGCATGGGATGGGATGGCATGGGATGGGAAAGGATGGCATGGGATGGGATGGGATGGGATGGGATGGGATGGGATGGGATGGGATGGGATGGGATGGGATGGGATGGGATGGGATGGGATGGCATGGCATGGCGTGCAGTCAGAGGTACACCAAAAGCAAATGGGCAAAAACTAGTAGCAACGACAACAACCTGCCAGGGAAAAAAAAACGCACACAGAAACTCAATTACACATCCACATTGCGGTTCATACAACGAACTGAGTGGCTTTGAAACAAATTTGCTTGATTTCACAAAATGGGACAGCAAAATAGTGATGGTAGCTGTAAGGAATGATGGGAGCACACCTGCCATCCCAACCAGGCCTGGATTCAGACATACCAAGCCCGCCTGATTAGACACACCTGCTGCCCCACCACCTGATTACACACCTTTCAAGGATAGGAATAATCCGTGTGACCAACAGAGTGCAAACACTTCAGTGAAAAAAGGAAAAAAAATAAAGACACAGAGACAATTGTTTTCCAGCTGTTCTCATGGAGCTTCAGTCTCACTTCACTTTCCCTAGAATATTTGGTCTATGAGAGAGAAACAGGCAGGATACATGCCAGCCCGTAAGTTACATGATGGGATGATGCGCGAGATGCCATGTAGTGTTGTGTGTGGTTCAATGAAACCGTTCGCATGATGGCATGGGGTCATGTGTGGCAACAAAAACTTTTGCCTCATGAAACAAACACATTACATTAGTGCCAAGAAAAAAATCAACAACAATCCTTCATGCCTGAAATTTGTTCAAAGTCAGAGAGAACGGTATTCTTAGTAATCATCCCGTGAATCATCAGCATCCACATGCAGTCCATACATCCTGCGGATGTCTTCATTAACACGCAGTCGCATGCAGCCTCGAATGCCCAGGTAGCGCAGCATCCTCAGCTCCGTCAAATCGTGTGGCAGGGCTCTCAGCATCGCACAGTCATTCAGAGGAAGTCTTCTCAGTCTAGTCAGCCGAGCAAAGCCGGCAGGCAGAGATCGAATGGCACAACCTGAAGCGTTTATCACATGAAGGCATGTTAGCTGGCTCAGAGGAGCAGGCAGCTGCTTCAGAGCCCCGCATCCGGACACGTTCAGCTTACGCAGTCGAGTCAATGCACCGATGCTGCCAGGGAGCGATACTAGGTGCTCTGATTCCCCAATCTCCAAAGATGTCAAGTGCAGCAGCTCGCACACAAATGATGGAAGTCCTCTTAAGGATGACTCGTCAATTCTGAGGCTTCGCAGCTGCAGCAAACTTGAACCAATGCGTTTGGGAAGCTTTGACAGCGCAGCACAGCTCGAAATATGAATGGTGTGGAGGTGAGGGAGAGCTGGAAAGGGTGATGGGAGATCCTCAGCTTCTTCTGCCAATTCCAGCTTCAGCTGCCTCAGTTGAGTTGCACTCGTGCCAATCGCCAGGCTGCATCCAGCACCAACATTAGTAAGCTCCAATTTCCTCAAACTCGGCAGAACGGGTACGTCAAACAGAGCAGCAGGCTGGTTGTAGCTCGGCATGACCAAAATCTCCAGATATGGGGGAAGGGATGCAGGCGGTTCAGTCAGCAAGGTGCATCGAATCAGCTTCCTCAAACCATCCAACCTTGGAGCCGAAGAGAGCCGTTTGCAGCCATTAATGATCAGGACCTCCAGCCCGGTGAGGTGTGAGAACGAGTCTGGAAGTTGAGTGATATAAGAACTGGACGAAATGTGCAGCTGCTGCAGGCTACTCAGGTTTCCTATACCCTCACGAAGCTCCCGAAGCATGCTATGCTTGAGTTGAAGAATTGTTATTGCGGAAAGTTCCACGAACGAGGGTGGGAGTAACAGCTGATTTCTTGAGATCTCTCCCAAGCAGAGTACCTGCAGATGACAGAGGGCTCCGATGTCATATGGAATCATCAACTCTTCGCAATTGACGAGATCAAGTGTTTCCAGGCGTGTGAGTTGGCAGAGGGAGCGAGGGAGATAGTCAAGAGGCAACGCGTCCAGCTCCAGCAGTTTGAGAGAGGTCAATTCTCCGATGTTGTCTGGAATCCTGGAAAACGAATCACAACCACAGATGCGTAAAGCTTCCAAGCGTCCAAGAAGGGTAAATTCCTCTGGCAACTCGGACAAGTTCGGGCACCAAAAGAGGTTTAACTCGCGGAGGCATGATGTCAATCCTCTAATGCCATCATCATCAGTGGAGTCTACTTGCAATCGTTGGAGACTGGTGCTTGGTAAGCCTGACGGAAACATCTCCTGAAACCCATGGTCGCGACCATTGACTTCAAGCGACTTAAGATGAGGTAGCTGAAGTGATGCAGAAGAATTGGAAAAGGAATAATCATTCTCGAACACACGCGTCTTGAAAGAGATTAAAAGGCTGGTAAGGCTTGAGAGATGACTGAGCCTTAGGAACTGCTGCTGGTTAAGGTGTGGGGAAGCTATGTAGAGAGTGGAGAGAGCGCCAAGATTGGTTAGACCAGGAGATTCGAGAGCAGAAGCGTTAGTTAGGGCTAGGGTGTGCAGATGCGACAACTGGAAGAAGGAAGCTGGCAGCTCGACGTCTTTGTGAAGGCAAAAAAGGGAGAGTTGCTCGATCCGTGAACATCGACTGAAGAACCGATCTAATCCAGCTTCAGTTATCGGATGCATGTCTTCCGAGACAGGATAGCTATCATCGTCTTCGTAACTATCATCGTGTTCGTAACTATCATCGTCTTCATCGCTATTATCGCCTTCGTGATATAGATTGATATTCAGTCCCACGTGCAGAGCCCTGAGCATAGGACATGTGGTAGCCAGGTGATGGAGAAACGAGTCGTCTACGGTCTCCACGCTGCCGTCGCCCAAGTGAAGGTGGGTCAGACGCGGGAAGCAAGCGATGGCGTTCGCGAGATCCTGGCGGGAGACTACAACGTCTTCTCGGACAAACAGGCTCCTGACGTGTCTCTGAGCGAGACGTCGCCAGCGACGACAGACGGAAGCTATGGCGAGATTCCACGCGGCGTCTGCGGAAGCTGGAGGTGCTAATAAGGGAGGGATGCTCTTCCTATAAATGTCATACGGATGGGCAGAAATGACCTTCGGCGCATCACTCTCGGATTCACCACAGATAGCAGGCCATAAGATCTCAACAAGCAGCACATCAGGAAGGGAACTGATGGGTGAGAACTCCATCTATGAAATTAAAAGGTACCTAGTAGTATAGTTGCGGACTGTATTAGATTGAAGATAAGGAACTCGCAGCTAATTCCAAGAATAGACCTGAAGCTTGAAGTTGAGGTGGTTCTAAATACTCTTACTGTAAATTGGAATGGAGAGGCATGAGAGGTCTTCAAACGTCCCGACGTCTGACGGTCCACATCCCTGGTAGTGACATCACTGGAGGCAACTAAGGGGTTCGTTTGAGGATTTCAACAACCCCAACACTTCGCTTATCCAAATGCCTCAAGAGTTACTGCTTGACATTTGACAGCTCGAAAGCTATCATGGCGGCGTGCTTCATGGCGGCGTGCTTCTCATCCAACTCTCTCTAGGTGTGGCAGGTTGCTGGATGTTAGCATGGACTCATAGCACAGACCGTGGCAGATGTTGGGGGACTTGGGAACGAGTCGATTGGTGAATCTGCAGGCATTGTTCACAATCCTGCTTAGGCCTTGGTACATTGGGCCTGAATTTCAATGCTTCAGGCTCGAGCCCAGTTTTAAATCTAGGGTTACTCGAATTTCCTACTGTGGAAATTCGAATCCGCATTGAGCCTCACGCTCGAGGGGTATCCTTGTAATGATGTATCCATGTTTCGTTACGCGAATCCCAAATTGGACCACAAAACTTTTTTGGTGCGCGATCTGCCGACCAGTGTGGTCAGGCTCGAGCCAGGCTTGATGCAGGCTCAATTCGGTTTTCCGAGGCTCAATGCACTCGATCGACTGCTCGGATCCTCACTAAAATTGTACAAATGTACCACGGCCTAAATTCTAAGGCCCTTCGGCTTACCCAAATCCACCATCGCAGCCCGAACCCTAGTTGTGCATTTTCTCAAACACCATTCTATTAGCCCGTCGCGTACGCTTGCGCGATGTCGCAATTTTTTCTGCGAAAATACTATCCCAGAGCGTCTCATAAACGGCTAGGGAAAGATCGAGGATGAAAATCATGGCGGGAATCTGGTGAGGCGCCTCGAGGGCTCACGAACCCAAGCGCACTGACACCAACGAGAGTGTTCCCGAGCCTCCCATCACGCTGTTTTCGCCTGACGCGGCTCCACCAAAAGATCCGAACCTGAGCCCCCAGAAAAATACTCTTTGAAATCCGTCCACGCACCTCGTTCCTGGGTTTTCCCACCATTCGATTCGTGTGACGTGGCACGTTACCGGGGCTGGAACTCCAACGGTCAGGCAGACCAGGCATGTGGGCGTGGAGCCGAGGGTTTGGAGCGGGGTGAGGCCAGAGTGCAGTAGAAATGAGGTCCCTTCGGTTGGATCTAATCATTCTCAACTCCTCAGAGCTTTCCGTGTTGGATCGGAAACTTGAATAAAGCATCTCAACTCTGCTACCTCTGCATCCGCTAACGATCTTACTGTTGAGCACCTTCCAGCGATCAGCCTTTGTCAGACGATTCCTGACAGCCGAGTAATGGCAATCTATGCTGATAACTGCGCTGCTAACTCTGCTTTTCAAACCTCGAGCAGTTCTGCAACGCCTACCAGAGGCATTGGCAGGTTCGGAATCCCTAAAACCGTTTTCTCGCCTGCAGCGTACTCTCCTGTGAAGGCTGCTGCTTGCAACGACGACGGTGAGACGTTCTGCAGCAGCGTGCTTCTGAAGAGCGTGAGGCCGCTGCTGGAGAAACTGGCCTCCCAAGGCGTCGCTGACGGGCAACACAAGCCCGCCAAGGTGCACGTTGTACCTGACGCGCCTGATGTGAAGCGGCCTGGAATTGGCCGCTTCGGAGGCAAGCCTGCTGCTGCCGTGCTCGCACCTGTGGTCGTCCCTGCTGCTCCCTCACCATCTGCTGCTGCTGCAGTCACACCGTCTGCTGTGGTTGCGCCTGTGGTGGTGCCTGAGGTAGCGCCTGTGGCTCCAGTTGCTTCAACCACACCACAGGTGGCTGAAGCGAGTGTGACAACAGAAACAATAACTGAGGAGGCGAGTGCATGTGCGGCTGATCCGAGTGAGAAAGCGAGGTGGGCGAAGCTGCGTGAGGAGGTTCGAGTTATGAATATTGCGCTGACACGTGCTGCTTACCTGAGGTGGGACAAGCGGAGCAAGGAGGCCTCATGGGCCATGGAGATTGAAGCGGCCATTGAAGCCGCCCTGCGTCCCTGCTTCTTGCCCAAGCATCCTAATGCTGTGGCGAATCTGACTCGCAAAACCGTGTCTCCTACGTCTGCAGCAGCAGCTGCTGTAGCAGTGTCAGCAGCACCAGCTGCTCCCTCGCCCGCAGCTACAACAACAGTGGAATCACCTGCTGCGGCCTCATCAGTGAGAGAAGCAGCAGCAGCAGCCCAGAAGCCAAAGCCTGCTGTTGCGGCAAGGTGCAAGGTGGGGATTGAAAACGCGAAGGGCAAGAATGGGTGCAGCAGCAAGGTCGTGAGCATGGGTGTGAAGGGTGGTAAGGGCAACAACACGCATGCAAGCTCTGTCCCACGTCCAGCAGCAGCAGTTGCGGGATCACGTGGTGGTGCATCATCAGTGAGTGCAACTTGCAAGGCCAGCAGCAGGCAGGCGAGTGGGGTGAAGAGGAGAGAAGAGGGTGGGTGTGGGGAGGGAGCAGCAGGGAGGGCAGCAGGTGGAAGGCAGGGTGGTGTGAATGCAGCAGGTGGCAGAGCAGTGGCAAGTGGCGTGTGTGGCAGGGAGGGGGTGAAGCAGCAGGCGGGGAGGAGAGAGAGTTTGGTGCATGAGAGGCAGGCGAGGCCAGGCTGCAGCAGCAGCAGGGCGCACAGAAGGAGCTCCTGAAAGAGCCGGCATAGGAATGGCTGCATTCCCACCTGCTGCTGAAAAAGAGCTCCTCACAGCGCTCAATGAAGGACCTTGTCACGGCTCTTAAGGGCACGTGCTGCTGAGAGTATCCCGGAAGAACATGACTGTACATACAGATGTTGGTAACAACACTGAGTGGTGTGGTAAAATAGTGGTGATGCCAATGGAACAGCTACCAGTAGTAGCTGAAATGCATGACGGCGTGTAGGCACCGCTGTGTGCTCTGTATATTACTGTACTAGGATAGGATACTGTATGTTGCTAGGACAAGATCTATAATTGTAATCAGTAGCTAAATTGTTCTACATAAACTTGTGTTCCATCTGAAAGAAGGGTCGGTCACATCAAGCATATATTTCTTGTGTTGAAGAGAGGGCAGCACAGCAAAATAACACCAATGCTTCAACCCTTAGGCAGCTTAAGGATCAATGTTTGTAGGTGCTGTTAACTTTGGAATATGGATATGGTAATCTGAATCACCTTTTCTGATGATTTGTACTACCGTAAACATCCAATGAGCATGCATCGTTCTTTGTCAACAGTGTTTCCTAAGCTGGTTGGTTTCAAAGATTGCAGAGCAAGGAGTAGAAAGTTAATGGTGGAGTGGCAAGTGAAGTGTGCAGTACAGCACACTGTATAGCGAGCTCGCTGGCCCTGCAAGCATGCATTTGCTGTTGCAGCAGCAGTAGCAGCTCCAGCAAGAGCATCAGGCTGTGAGGCTGCTGCAATCAAAGGGGGCTCTGGCTTGCCTTGGGACCGCCGTGCCTGGAACAGCTTGTGCCACGTGGCACCTCCACCCCCATGGCAGCTTAGAAGTACATGGGAACATGGAAACATGTATGGGTACATGGGAAGTGACACTTGATGTGCTTGATGTGACTAAAATCTCAAAACTTGACAAATTGGATTGAATTGAATGGGATAAGATGGGAGTGAATCAGAGGGGGGGGGGGAGGGGAGGAAAGATGTGATTGGATACAAGTTAGTGAACACGACTCCACTTTATTCAGCCCGTACCAGAGTGGTATGGGATGGAGGGAATGGAATAGCATGTCAGATGTAGCATGAAATATGGAGCGTGGCAGGATTTACACAACTTCCAACAATTTCGAATGGAATGCGAGGTTAGATGAGGGGATGGGGTGCGATGGATTACGGGGAAAAAAAGCTGAAACAGGGAATAATGAAAAAGCGTGAATATCAAACTGAAGTGGGAGCATTCTGCTGTGAGGCTGCTGAAGCCAACGGGATTTCTCGCTTGTCACGTGGAACCTCTTCCCCTCAAGCTAGTCTCATCGGGATGGGATGAAATGGAATAAGTTCCATTGTGATGGGATGGGATGGGATGCGATGAGATGGGATGGGATGGGATGAGATAGGATGGGATGGGATCGGTTTGATTGGGACGGGATGGGATGATACTGGATTGTATGGGATGGAATGGGGCTGGTATAAATGGAATGGGCTGGTATGGGATTGGTTTGAATGGGATGGGATGAGCTGGTATGAGACTGGTTAGATAGGGATGGGATGGGATGGGATGGGATGGGATGGGATGGGATGGGATGGGACTGGTTTGATTGGGATGAGATAGGATGGGGTGGGATGGGATGGGATGGGATGGGATGGGATGGGATGGGATGGGATGGGATGGGATGGGATTTGGGATGGGATGGGATGGGATGGGATGGGATGGGATGGGATGGGATGGGATGGGATGGGATGGGATGGGATGGGATGGGATGGGATGGGATGGGATGGGATGGGATGGGTTGGGTTGGGTGGGATGAAATGGGATGGGATGGGATGGGATGGGATGGGATGGGATGGGATGGGATGGGATGGGATGGGATGGGATGGGATGGGATGGGATGGGATGGGATGGGATGGGATGGGATAGGATGGGATGGGATGGGATGGGATGGGATGGGATGGGATGGGATGGGATGGGATGGGATGGGATGGGATGGGTTGGGATGGGATGAAATGGGATGGGATGGGATGGGATGGGATGGGATGGGATGGCGCATCTCATGGGGTACTGTGGGGAAAGGGATAAATAGTGCATAAGACTTAGTGGAAATACATATTTTCATCCGCTAAGCGTTAACCAGGGTTTTTGCAGGGAAATAAATGTTACATATGATGCTTTAATGACTTTAGACGAGTCAGTGCACACACATATGGAATGACTCAGTGCACATGTGATAAAAGATGTTCTTTGAGACGTCTCAAAACCATCTTTTATCACACATGGCACAATTCAATGCAATAGAGACACACGGCTGCTCAAATGGCATTCCATCTGCTGACATGGCATTCCATCTGCTGACATGGCATTCCAGTTGCTGACATGGCAGGGAAGCATGCCAAGTCACCGATGGTTGCCCCTCCAGTACCGTCACTGCAGGTGCAGCGATTCCGAGTGGGGACGGGAGAGGGATGGGGAGAATCATTGCAGCCTGTGGGGGAGCGGATGTGGACGGAAAGGTGTGGGCGAGGTGAAACAGAGAAGAAGGGAACGAAAAGGTGAGGGTGTAATGAAGTGACCGACGGAATAGCAGGAAAATGTGAAGGGATCGGGGAGAACAGGAAGGGGTGGGGGAGAATAGGAAGTGATGGGGAAGAATGGGAGGGGATAGGAAGAATGGGAAGGTATAGGGGAAAATGGGAGGGGATGGGGTGAATTGCAGGGGATAGGGGAGAATGGGAAGGGATTGGGTGAGTGAGAGTGGAAGGGGAAGAGAGGGAGTGGATTGGGGAGAATGGTAGGGGATGGGAGAGATAATGAAACAAAGAGGAGTGGCAGTGCGAAGAGCAAGGGAGAGATGCGCGGGGCGCAGAGGGGAGGGTGAGCGAGGGAGGTTGAGGTGGGTGAGGGAGGGTGCTCTGGGTGGATGGCATGTGCGTGACATGTATGTATCATGTGATGCCGTGTCATGTCCATGTTACGTGCATGTACATATGTGAAGTGCATGTGTGCATGCATGAGCATGTGAGCATGCGGGAGAGGAGCCATGCGAGCATACCTCTTCATGCATGTCACATGGAGCAGATGTCGCTGGCATGATTTCAGCAGGTCTGAAGACCCACCCAAAAATCGCAATCCATGTCTCTATCGCAAGAAGCTTCTTGCTGCTTCACAACTCTCTCGTTCCCATCACTTCTCCACTCCCTCCCCACCCCACAACCCCTCCTTCCTTCTTCTTGCCCTACCTCACCACTTCGCGCCCTTGAGAAAGTTCCCACATGGGAATTGTAGCAACGGCCAATCAACAGCTGCTGGCGTCGCTCCCTCCATCCCCGCCGAGTTTCCCGCCGCACCCAAGGCCTTCCCTGCTCGTTACACTCCGCCCTTTCATCCCCTTTTGTGACCTTCGCGCTTCCCTATTTAGACTTTTCCCTTCTTCCGCCCTTTCCGCTCCTTCCGTTCCGTCCGCCCGTCCTGATTCCTGCACTCCCGTTCGCTCGCTCACCTCGTCGCGCACTCACCCTAATTTCAAGCCTGCGAGTCGGTTGCGGCGACCTGATTGGGCGAGGGTCTCAGGCTCGGACGCGATCGACGATGGACATGACGGCCACGTGCCGGCTGGAAGACGGCTAACGGTGAGGGTTGCTTGAGAGTTCGCGTTGTCCCGTTAGCATGAAACGGCGAGACTGCAGCGTGAAAGTCGCATTTTGAAAGTGAAACCCTGGAACGGCTGTCTTGAGATCGCTTGTACGACTAGTTCAATTCGTACTCGTAACCAAGGCTCGTAACCGCTTCTGCGATCGTATTCACCTACGCGCTTGTACTCGCCTGCGCGCTTGTTATCGCTTGTGCACTCACGAGTCGCGTCCGCTTGTGATTTGCCTGGAAATCGTGGCTGTCCATGGCTACGCCAATTCACGCCTCATGAATGTGCCTCACTGCTGTCGCAAGATGCTGCACCGCGATCAATATTCTTCAGACCGTTTCGTACCGCACAGGCCTACCTTCCTCAACAAGCACATTTCAAAAAAGGCTTCCACGAGGGTACGGTATGCTATACCTAGGCCCTCTAGCCCGGTTACGACCGCTGGATGGTGTTTTTTGCATTGTATAATGTGATTTCACCTCCAAAAAAAAAAAAAAAAAAAAAAAAAAAAGCACATTTCAAATTCCAAAATTTGTTTATCCAGCCCAGCACAGAAATTCCGATTAATATTGCATTTTCAAAATAAAAAAAACCGCCCAAACGAAAAGACGATTGCTTTTAGAGAGGACAACACAAGAAAGGCTGACAGAGGGACTTTCACTTTTCCCCCTCGATTCTTCGCAGCACACAGCAGGCAATCCCAATGCCTGCTGAATCTGATCCAAATCCGCTGAGTAGCACAGCCCGGCCCAAACCCTTCTGCCTCACACACCATGCTACGAGAGGAAACTGATGGACTCGTCGCAGCGTTATGAATCCAAGTGGCGAAAGATTCTTCGCGATCTTCTCCTCAATTCCTAGAAATTGTCGCGCAAATTCCACCCACTTCGGCCATTTCCTCCTCACCAGCCCCTCCCCTCGCCTCGCCTCGATCGCCATCGCGAATTTCCCTCCTGCTCCCATCCACCACTTGCCATTCCTGCTTTCGCTGAATGCTCCTCATGGTGAGAAGCTCGCAAGAAGCCTTTTGCCTTCTACTTGGTTCCTACTCGCTCGAGTTCCCGCTGCCTGTAGCCTTTTGCTAATAAATGAAGCATCTATTGCAAGCGACGAGACATTCAGCTGCACTAGCTCTTTCGAGTTCATCCACTACTCCTTTAATTGTTAAAGCGAAAACTGCCTTCAGAAATCCAATCCCACGAAAGTCAGTCCATTTTCTTTCATCCCCCGTAAATTCCGTCCCGAGACCAAGTTTATCGTTAGATTCGTCGTCTCGTCGCACAACAGCCTACACCAGAGATTCTATTCGGTCAAGCTCCACGGTCATGTAAGCGATCGTTTCGTCCGCCAATGGACCCTAGTTCCTTCTTAATTTTTTTCCCGTCACTAGCGTTGCATTGTAGGAGTTCCGACCTTCGCTGTGCACAGGCATCCTCATCACGCGCCGTTTTTCTGTTGTCAGGGCGAAGGAGTTTATGAGGAAGATTCCTAGCAGCTCGCTGTACGTGTCCCGTCCCACGTGGTGGCTGGAGTCGCGCTTCCACTTCAGCTTCGCGGAGTATTTCAACCCGGCCAATCAGGAGTTCGGCGTGCTGCGCGTCCTCAACGACGACCTCGTCCAGGTCCCTCCCACACGCCTTTCACCTTCTTTCTTCATAACTTGTCCTTCAGCCCCTCAATTTGCACCTTGTAGAGGATTTTGCTTGGAGCATTCTAGACTCAACTCCTCTGCTGCTTCCATCTCCCTGTCCCTCTGTGTCGTTTCACCTAACCATGCTGGGCAGCCCAACGCCGGGTTTGGGACACATCCGCACCGCGACATGGAGATCATCACGTATGCCGTGGACGGGCAGCTCACGCACAAGGACAGGTGCGCGCCCCCCGTCACTCGCCCCCCCCAACCATCCAACCGTTCTGCTTCAATGCGCACTCTATTCCATTCATGCGCACCAGAACTTTCGTTATAATGCTTTTCATTGTCATCGTGTGATCTTATCTTGCACCTTGACCCTGTCCTGGCAGCATGGGGACAGCGGAGACGTTGGGGCGTGGGTGCGTGCAGTACATGAGTGCGGGCACTGGCGTCACGCACTCCGAGATGAACAACTCCGGCCAGCTGTACGTGCACACGACCATCAACACGATCCACATTCTCATTATCTCTTCAGCCCCGTTCACCCTGCATTCCCTGCTGTAAGTAATTCGCCCTTTCCATGCATAATCTGTTCTCCTCCTTTATCCGTGCGTGCAGGCAACGGTTCATTCAGATCTGGGTGAAGCCGAATGCAAGGGGTCTTAAGCCCAACTATGGCTCGCGCACCTTCAGGTGCGGCCAACCTTGATGCAGCTCTTTGTGCCTCCACATTGTTCAACCCTGGATCCCCCTCACGTCCACTGTGCCTTTGTTTCCTCCCTCGTCGCTCTTGTACAATTGTATGTAGCTCTTCATTTGACTGCTAACATCTTCTGTTTTGTCTTATATGGTATGCTTGGAAATTTCATCATGACCTGCTTCTGAACTGCTGTTGCGTTGCTCCAACCTTTCCTTTTATTCTTGCAGCAAGGGCGATCGTCACAACAAGCTACAGCAAGTGGTGACCAGCTATGACCGCTATGGTTCCAATAAGGATGCAGGATCGGGAATCATTCCCGTGAATCAAGACGTCAACATCTTCGTGTCGGAGATGGATGGCTCGCTGCCTGGTGCTGCTGCGAGGAGCTTGGAGTACACACTGCAGACGGGGCGGCAGATGTACCTGCTGTGCATTGAGGGCGGCCTCACTGTGACTTCCAAAGAGAGTGGCATCAAGGAGATGCTTGATGCCCGCGATGCTCTGGAGGTATGCGCTTCACCCACGTCCTTCATCCCCACTTCTATTCCATTCAAAAATAACGCATTTTTCAACCGCCAATTGCCGTGTTGCAGGTTGCTGCGCCCAGCAAAAGTGACATGCCTCTCGCGTTTCGGCCTCATCATGATGCTTCTGGAGCTCATATTTTGTTCCTGGAGATGGCCAGAACAGTTTGAGCTGATGTGTTTAATGCCATGCTGTATTTCATTTTACAGCAACGAGTTGTCTTTATACCAGTTCTTCACGGTGGCAAATGGCAGGGGGTTCACCCACACCCCGCCCACACAAACCAGCCAGAAAGCTTGCAGGAATGAACTCACACACTTGAACTCCCATCACTAGGCTTAGGAGGCAGAACAAGATGCTAAGGAGCATGCTATGTACCCTATCCATTTTCGGTGAACTTTCTGTTGCTTGGGTTGGGCCTCATAACCTGGCTGGCTCACTTGGCTTATTACCATAACAGGACAGGACGGCATCTTTCGTGCGTATTTGTGTGAAATCATGAGGGGTTCGTTCGTCACATCCTTTGGTGCATCAGCTGTTGCTCACAACACAAGCACCAGGTCGCGGCGACAAAGGGCTAGCTTGTGTGGCTACTCCTTACACAAATCATGGCAAGGAATCAAATGACACCAAGGTCAGTGTGCAAGAGGTCGGCATACATGAGCTCGTTCCAGGTGTCAGGCACGCCAGGCAGGCAGCAGTGCACACAGTCACAAATCATTCGCCCCCCGCGCTACAGCGCCATGCCCTGCCCCACCTCAGACCCGTTCACCACCTCCCGTGGCAGCAGCTGCTGCCTGTGGGGCAGCAGCAGTGTCTCTGACATGAACGGATGAGGCAGAGGGGGGGGCGTTTTGGGAGCAGGGGGAAGGCGACGACGTGGGCGTCAGGGCGCATGAGGGAGAGCGGGAAGGCGACGGGATGGTGGGCTGCCCCCACGTGGACTCATGCACGGCGTGTGATGGCATGGGATGGTGGGTCTGACTGCATTGGATGGGGTGTGTGATGGCATGGGATGGTGGGTCTGACTGCATTGGATGGGGTGTGTGATGGCATGGGATGGTGGGTGTGACTGCATTGGATAGGGTGTGTGATGGCATGGGATGGTGGGTGTGACTGCATTGGATGGGGTGTGTGATGGCATGGGATGGTGGGTGTGACTGCATTGGATGGGGTGTGTGATGGCATGGGATGGTGGGTGTGACTGCATTGGATGGGGTGTGTGATGGCATGGGATGGTGGGTGTGACTGCATTGGATGGGGTGTGTGATGGCATGGGATGGGTGGGTGTGACTGCATTGGATGGGGGTGTGTGATGGCATGGAATGGTGGGTGTGACTGCATTGGATGGGGTGTGTGATGGCATGGGATGGTGGGTCTGACTGCATTGGATGGGGTGTGTGATGGCATGGGATGGTGGGTGTTACTGCATTGGATGGGGTGTGTGATGGCATGGGATGGTGGGTTTGACTGCATTGGATGGGGTGTGTGATGGCATGGGATGGTGGGTTTGACTGCATTGGATGGGGTGTGTGATGGCATGGGATGGTCTGACTTCCTGCTCATGCCCCTCATTCACCATATGCCTCTGCGCACCATACTCTCTCTCCCCACCACTGGCCACACGCTCTCTCCCTCCCCTGTTACTTCCACATGCCCTGACACACGCACATCCAAAACCGTCTCACCAGTTCACGCCTTGAGAAGCTCCCAGAAAGTTCCACATGTCGTCAGCTTCGCACCACACCTTCCCTCCGTTGCATTCCCCTCCGCTCCGCTCCTCCGTTGCTCTCACCTCTGCGGCAGCAGCCATGTCAGCGTCCGAGTCAGCGTGTACGCACTGCCACATTAGTGAGAAAACATGCTATGAGAAGTGTAGATCGGATCAGATCGTATCCGATCAGATCAGGGCTGCGAGAATGGCAGCATAGCCGATTCGCCAGTGCCGTCGACTCTCCCACTCCCTTCATCCCTCTGTGGCTTCTACCACATCCCTTCTGAAGCTTCATCGCTCTTTCTTGCTTCTTCCGCCCTCCTCCGTCCTTCTCATATTTCCTTTCCATCCGCCGCCGATCCTGCTAAAGTTTTCTCTTTCGGCCACTTCCACTCCTTCCATTCCGTCCGCTCATCCTGCTTCCTCCACGACTCATCGCCACGCAGATGCAATGTTTAACTTCCCGAAACATCTAAATAAGGAAACTTCCCAGCCAGCCAGCAAGCAGGTGTGGATAATAGCTCCCACCACACCACCCACAAAAAAGCCAACAAACTATCACACCAGGATGCGTATTGGTGGGGAGTAACGCCATTCTTTGGTAATTTTACTTTGTGTTAGTACAATATTCACCATCTTCAAACTCGAAAGCCAGACATGGCATAGGGTAGGACTGCTGCTGTATACCCGAGGACCTCATGACACAATCATTCCAGGAAAGTCGTCCCTGGCCAATTCTTGGACATCTTGAGCATCTGTAGAAATCCTCTGGAGCAACTTAAGGCCCTTAAGCCACTTCAGGCCAGCAGCGGTAATCTGAGCACCCCACAACCCCAGCCCCTCCAAGCGATTCAAATTCCTCAGGTGCTTCATGCTGGCGTTGGTCACCCCTGGAGGAAGGATGAGGAGCTTCAGTGAGGTGAGATCAGTCAAGTGCTGCAGCCTGTCCCCCCTCACTTCAGTGTCGTTTAGGGTGAGAAATTCTAGTGATGTCATGTTGCACACATGCACCATGCTGGCAGAGGTGACCGCGGGGCAGTCGTCTATGAACAGTCCTCTTATGTGCAGGCAACCACTCCAGCTTCGCTTTTCCCGCATCGGTTATCTCGTTGTCTGCGAGATAAAGTTCCTAAAGGTTCCTCAGGCCAGCAATGCCTTCAAGAGCAGCGTCTGTTGTGGCCGTACCGCAGAGATCGAGAACTGTCAGGGCCGGTGAGGGAAAATAGCCGTCTCACTCCCGCATCAGTGAACCCGGAGGAATGTCTGTGGTTCAGTACGGTTAGAGAGTGCAAGCTGCGGAGTTTGGAAAGAGCAGTGTTGGTGACGCAAGGGATGCCGCTGAGGTTCAAGTATGTCACGTCTGGGACTGCTTCGCTCCACAGTGCTATAAGTGCCTGCAGCCACGGATAGCAACAGATTCCAACATGGAGATGGAGTGGCAAGATCACCTGAGATGGTTTGTCTATGCAACATGGCAATGAAAAGGCTTGCGCGTGCACTCGTGTGTGCCACACAGGCCTGCAGGTGATAGTGGCGAAAACTGTTTCGTCCACGCACGTAAGAAGAAAGAAATAAATTAAAAAAATATAAAACTAAACAAACAAACGACCATCCAGACCATCGCGCACAGTCACCCTCCCACGTCCTTCCTCCTACAACGCTCATTGCCTCCAGAGCTTCCACTCGCGTCCTGAGCCCCTTCAGCTCTGCCTCTGTGTCGCACGTAGCACTACTATTCCCCACCCCTTGCGCTGCGGCCTGCCTTTCCACCTCATTCCCCGTTTCAACTGGCAGGACACCACCAGTTGCAACCAAAGCATGTCCAGCCCGCATCCACCAACCCCTCCTTTTTCCCCGTCGCCTCCCGCTTCCGCTTCTTCCCCTCGCGCCGCCTCTCAGGCCCCTCATGCTTTCCCGCGCTGCCCTCCTTGCGCTCGTCGCGGCTCCTCCCCGCGCCGCCGTCCTTGAGCGCGGCGAGCGCCAGCTCGAGGTCGTTGATGCGCGCCTCCGAGTGCGCCGCCGTCGCCTTCACATACGCCACCCTCCGCCACCTGCCGCTATGCAAAGCCCTCCATTGGGCAAGTTCCGCCTTATGTGTGCCC